TATGCAACACATCTAGGGATCCAGATGCATCCAGCTTTGCACGTGGCAGCACGTTCACCAGCGACTCCCACCACATCGCACACAGCGCGTGACCCGCAAGCTGCGACGCGTTAGGTGGAGGCAAGGCAAGAAGGATGACCAAGGTGAAGCGTGGTCTCGAGCTCGTAAACTCGAACAACGATGTGCAGCAGATGCGGTTGCATCCTTGTAGCACAACAGACAACCACAATCCGTACAAAAAGAACAGGGATGGCGCGTGCACCAAGTCGCAGAGGTACCGTCGGAGGTACCGTCTGGAATGCACGGTCCGTACAATTCCAGGCGCGGCCATCACCAAACGCGTGCAAGAGCCTTTCCGCTGACAGTTGTATTTTGTTGCGCAACGGGAGGTGGTCGTCTGCACGTGCGATGCGTGGCAAAGGTGCATCAATCTTTTCAAGGGCGGACTCGGCACCAACTCTCCGCTCTGTCTGTCCGCAATCAACGGCAGTGCAAAATACATGTACAGTGCTGCATATGCGCAGAGGATACTACATATTGTAGGTGATCTGATTCAATCCAGTGTCTGCATTGCACACCGATTACAAGACACTTCTGGACACTCGTTTAAAAAACGCGTGGATTACAGGATAAGCGCTGCATCGGACAACGTGCACCCGGGAGCCTTCGCAGATCGTTCCGTCAGCTACCGCTACTACAGTGGCCGACTGAGCATCGGTCGTCTCGCTTGTCGTCTGCGCTCGTGTTGCGTGCCGTGCAACACAGATGTTTTGATTCCGACCCATTACACAACCATCAAACTGGCTACGTGGGCATGTGGCCGTCTCTTGGGTCGGCGACATGCACATACGTTATCTAGTTGCAGCCAGCCTCTGTGCGTGACGCCTTGTAGCACCGTCCATTGCGCTGGGTGCCTGTGAGTCTGCCTTTAGCGCCAGTGATTCTCGATTGCATTTCACTTTTGCATTTGGCTCGGAACCGCCATGGTCGCCATCTACGCATCTCTGAGTCTTCCACTGCTTTTGCTGGCCACACAAGTCAGCGCGGACGGCGTCACGTGCACACGGGACCCGTCGTGGCGCAGTACGTTCAAGAACTGGTGCATGTGCCAGCCGTGCAACCTCTGCGAGTTCAAAATCTTCAAGGGCTGCCGGCCGCTGCCGCAGAACCCCACCACGCTCTCGGACGGCTCGGACATGCCACTCAAGCAGCCGCTGCTGGCGTCGAAAGACTGGTTCCTCTCAGAAGACGACATCACGAAAAGCCGCGGCGGCGCGCGTCGGGACCGCCTCGCGGTTGCGACGTCGGGCAACCGCGTCAACATCTTTGCCGACACGAGCGCTGCATTTGCGTCCATGCACAAGGACATCAGCATGGCGACGGCAGCGTATTTCTCGGGCTGGACGCTGCACGACATTCCGTACATCCCGCAGATCGACCCGTCCATGACGTTCAAGAAGACATGGGCCAAGGCCATTGCCACCAACAACCTCCATGCGCACGGTCTCGTGTGGGAAAACCTCGTCGAACTCGGCAAGGTCACCGACATGTTTTCGTGGATGAACACGCTCAACAACAGCAACTGCAAGAACGTCCAGCTCATGACCGACGACCGCATCAACAAACCGACGGGGTCACACCACCAAAAGAGCCTCATTCTCACGCGCCATGCCGACATGGTGAGCTACGTCGGCGGCCTCGACCAGTCGCTCGACCGGTGGGACACCAAGTACCACAACGAGACCGCGCTCCGAAAGCGCACCGGCATCAACGGCGCCAACGATGGCTGGGTCGACGTCCACGCGCGTCTGCACGGACCCGCGACCAAAGATGTCCTCCACAACTTTTTAGACCGGTGGAACGACCCGGTCTACCCAGGCAAACCGTACGGCTGGCCGCTCGTCAAGTCGCCCGTCAAGATCGACGACGCGTGGAACGTTCCGAAGAAGACGCTGCCGCCGACCGACATCTTGTCGCGAGTCCGCGCCGATGCGTCCGTCGGCACGCACGACGTCCAGATCCTCCGCACGTACAGCTGCAAGTACAAGGGCTACAAGTCGTTTGCACCGAAAGGCGAGACGTCCATCTTTGCGGGCCGCATCAAGGCCATCCGGAACGCGAAAAACTACATTTACATTGAAGACCAGTACTTTATCCACGTGCCTGAGCTCCTCGACGAGCTCCTCAAGATCCTTCCGCGCATCCAGCGCCTCATTGTCTTTACGGTCACGCCCCAAGGCCAGGAGGCCGCTGTCGGCTACCAAAAGTACCAGTACGACATGATGGCCCCGCTCCTTGAAAAGTTTCCGAAGAAGGTCCAGATCTACATTCCCGACCCGCGCCGAAACATTTACGTCCACTCCAAGGTCCTCCTCGTCGA